AGAAGAGGGAAGAAAATCAGAGACTCATGGGAACAGTCCAAGGGACTTTTGGATCATGGGAGTCTCAGCCTACATGACCTTAAGATCAGAAGAACTAGATGGTGCCTGGCTATCACTACCAACCACGTGGAAGACCAAACCAAACCAGACTCACTGCCATCAAGTCAATTCCAGCTCATAGCAACCCCCTTTGGGTTTTCAAGTTTGTAAATCTTTAGGTAGAAGTAGGTTGCCTCATCATCCTTCTGCTAATCAACTGGTGGGTTAGAACCACCAACCCTCTGTTTAGCAGCCAGATGCCTTATATGCCGTACCACCAGAGCTTCTGACCACTTGCAAAGGAATCAGAATTGGAAATCTCGAAATCATAAAAATGACCAGGCTTGCTGCTATGATAGAGATGAGTCTCACACACACACACACACACACACACACACCATGGCCCGAGACTATGGCCCTTAGTCACCCTTTGGGCCTGGAATTGAATTCACTCCAGTGGTTTAACTCTGGCCGAACATTAGACAGGCCTGTGAGGTGAACAATGACACCAGGTAGGTATACTTCTAGAACAATCAACCATGGAAGATCATAAGGGCAACATTTGCACAGGGAAATAACTCAGAGGGCAGGAATTCATAGGAAAGAAGGCCACTGGGAAAAGGTAACCACAGGGAGAAGTGGGAAAAGAGTTGCTACACTATAGGGATTGTAGTCATTGTTACAAAACACAATGTCTGTGAATTGTTGAATGGAAAACAAATTTGCTCTGTAAACTTGCACCCAATTCACAATTTAAAAAAAAAAAATTAAACATAATTTAAAAAGAGAGCGAGAGAGAGGGAACCCATTGCTGGTTGCATCTTATAATGAAGAAAAACCTGTTAAAAGGAAGAACTGAGACACAGTGTTCTTTATGAGGCTCTGGTTTATGTAAGCCCTTATATATGTATTTAAGTTGAATGATAAGGCTTAATATGAGTCATATTTTGGTATGGTCTTAATGTGTTTTGTCTGCTTGCTCCTAAAGTGCAATGACCACATCCCTGAGACCTATGTGGTATCTGTCATCCTATGGGATCTTGAGAAGTATTAATTAATTTTGATTGGACATTCAGAAACAATTAATACTTAATGCAAAATTAGTGAGAGCTCTCTTTTAATAAGATTTTGAAACTACCTATTATTAAACTTTAAAACTTCCAAAAGTCATTACCTTGTTGTGTTGGATTGGGTTCTCTAGAGAAACACAAAAACCAGCAAAGTGTATATATATATTTATAGAGGGAGAAAGAGAGAGAGAGAGA